CGCCCGGACCCCTCTCTTGCCCTCTGAGATGGCTTCCTTGCTTCTCCCTAAGTTGCCCATCCAAAACAAGAGGAGGAGGAGGAGGAGTGTTTTGTTTCCAAGGTAGACACATTATGTAATGATCCACTTAGCCAGTCCCAGCTACGTAATTTGTGCTTCACTGAGACAAGGACTCAGAGTTTTTATCTACTTCTCGGGTCCTGCCCACTCCCGCTCCTGCCTCATTCTGCAGCGTCAGCTGGGGCTCCCACTCCTTCCCAGCAATGCTAACCGTACTCACCTTCAGAGCAGTGGGCCTCTGGCCAACTTACGCCAGGGCCCTTGTATTTGCCAGGTCTTCTGCCTGACCCACTCTTCCCCTACATCATGCATTGACTGACTGACTGACTGACTGACTGATTGACTGACTGACTGACTCTCAACCCTCAACCTCAGTTCAAAGCCTCTGCAGAAGGGCTTCTGTGCCCCCCCACTCGACTTAAAATACGTGACCAGCATTTTCCAAGATCTCGGGTGAATGACCTCAGCAGATAGATAATTGTAAATATCACAGCCATGCCAAATGTCTGTAAAGGTTTTAAACACTCTTAATGTCTGTCCATGTCCACGGTCATTACTTTGAACAGCACCGCTGTTCATCTGATTTCCTCATGTGGGGGTAACCACTCTGAATCCTCTGACCGGTTTACTTATTTTGCCATTTGTGCCCCCTTTAATTCATTACTTAGCTCCCTGTAGACATGGAGTTGGTCTTGGTCTTGTCACCTCTCTATCTACCATGCCAAGATCAGTGTCTTATGTCCATGAGGCTCTTGTGAAATTCTTGTTGATGCTCTGGCTGCCTGCCTTGCCTCTCGTGCCCAACCCAAGCTGGAGAAAATCATGGGAGGTCCAGGTTGCCTCTCTTCCCTTGCCCAAACAGGTCTAATTCCTTTCCACACCTGGGTCAGGTATGGGGCTGGCCCTTAATCAATGTTGTAATGACTGGAAAAAAGTAATTCCAGCTTCAGGGGTGTTGACTGAGTCACTTTAACAGCACATGCCTTGGTCCCCATAGATGGCATGTGGTGACATGGATTCTGAGGGAGTTGGCTCTTCTAACCATAGTCTCTGTAACTCCCACTGAAGGACTGGGTGGGGCTGTGCAGAGGGACTGTACTTCCTCTTTTCTTGATGGGTCTGGGTAAGAGAAGGTACGGAAGCTGCTGAAAGGATCCTGTGATTCCCTTGTAAGGGAAGGTTACCAGGGCTAATTGTGATCACAAACACTTGGTATTCTGACATGAGGATGGGTTGATTTTGCCATCTTATTGGGTATAAAGTGGGCCAGGAAAGGGGTGGTGGTGGTAGTGGTGGTTATAGATTCCTACGCATTGAACTTTCTCGATCAGAGACAGAAAACTGTGACACCAGGGCAGTGACAGAGTTGCTGAGACAGCAGAACCAGGAGCCAGAGCACAAGGCAGAGTGGAGGGCTTCCTGGTCCATGGAATGTGTAAAGCTAGTGCCTTCGAACACGAGGCTTGCTTACACAGTTGGGTGCCTCTAGGCACTTAACTGGAGGCGCTAGATTTGCTCACCCAAAGAGCTAAAGTTGAGTGCCTTCGTGCTGAACCTTATGGCAGAGTGGAGTGCCCTTTGACCATTTATCAGCAGTGCTTAAGAGCGTTGTATCACTGCCCAGGCAAGGCAGAGGCTAGACCAAGGGACTAAGGGCCAGAGAAGAACTGCCTATGAGCTTGGCAGATATAAGGCTGCCCTGACTAAGGAGCTGATCCTGACCATTTCTGATTCCACATTCTAGCCGCTTCCTCAATAAACTCCCATCATGCTGACCACAGCCTCCGTGACCACTGTACAGGATTACCCAGCAGAGAAGTAGAGGGTCGTGGAAGTGACCATTGCTGTCAGAATGTTTAAGAAAGGAGGAAAGAGGGTCTGTTTCCTCCCTGTCTCAGAGGAATCAGCCTTGGGCTGGTTTTGAGTTTGACAACACCCCCACCCATTGTGAAGTCAGAGGAGGTCAGACGCTGCACCTCCACACCTGATTCCAGGTGTGCTCTTGCCCTTACCGTGAGGGGAGAGGCCGCTCTCAGGTACACTGAGATCTCCAAATGCTCTCGGTGCTTCTCAGATAGGCAGTGCGGTTGCAACTAAAAAACAAAAATCATTTTGCTCGTTGACATTCTTTTTAATGAGGTGGAGTGGGGTCAGCCGACACTTGGGGGAAAGAGTCATATAGTAAATATTTTAGTCTATGCCAGCCAGCCCGGCTTTGTTGGATTTTCCACACTCCTCCCTTTCCCCACTCAACCCTTTAAATAAATGTAAACAGTTTTTACCTCAAGGACCATAGAGAACAGACCAGGACCAGTTTCCAACCCCTTGCAATAGAGATTTGGAATTCTATTTCTTTGAGACTCAAAACAATTTATTTTCTCTTCAAAGGAAATAAGAAATATGACCTACGAATAGTATCATTTTTCTTGAATTGTAAAGAAATGTGCAAAACTCCTCTTGCAAAGGCTGCTGCTCATCACTGTATTTGTACTTTATACTCTTCCTTACTTGTTTCAAATGCCTCATAACCGCGGTTTCCAGCAGCTTTGTTCTCCTGCCAAGGGCAGATGGGTGGTTTGTGTGCAGGGGAGCCCAAAGCCCATGACAGCTTGCCCCCTTAAAGACCCATTTGAGTTCGGTGGTGCAGTGGTTATGTGGCTCTGAACCATCAGCCACTCCATGGGAGAAAGACAAGGCTTTGTGCTTCGTGAAGAGTTGCAGTCTCAGAAACTCACCGCGGGCAGTTCTACCCTGCCCTGGGGGTTTGGTGAGTCGCAATTGACTGGATGGCAGTACGTTTGGGCTCTCAGACCTTGATAGTGCATCTCAAAGTGGACTCTGATAGTGCAGTACGTTTGGGCTCTCAGACCTTGATAGTGCATCTCAAAGTGGACTCTGATCATAAGGCATCGTTTGTCTGCTCTACCATGTCCTGAAGATGGATATACCTGTATGGTATATGATGTATGAGATAGTCAGACAACTGATTAAACCTCAGGTTGAATATAGAGCTGGCACTAATTCGTGTCTCCTGTCTTAATAACCCCCACCTGTGAATTACTAGAAGGGCAAAATGTGATCGCATTGAACACTGTTTACCCGCTCTGCTGTAAGGAAGGTGCTCTGGGATGCAACTGGTCTTTAGTGAAACCACTTCTTTTCCCTGTCTTTGCTGCCAGGACCTCGGGATTTCTGCAGGCCACCTCTTGTCCTTCCTTGTAAAATATAGTTGTTGATATTTCTATTCAATGCCTCCTATCCCAGTGTGATTTTACAAATATTCTTCGGTTTTCACATTTTAGCCAAATCTGTGAACTGAAGTAGACAAGGAGTTGATCCTAGAATGCCAAGTCCCGACTGACATGGTGCTGAGGGACCTAAACCTGTGCTTCTTGAACTCTGGCATCTTTGATATTGACTGCTACTGACTAGGAGGCTGGAACCTAGATACTAACTATAAGTAGATCACTGACATTGCAAGATCTGAGGGGCGGTTTAGCATCTTTGCTAAGAACATGAATTCAAGTGCTAGCTCTGCTACTGAGTAACTGTGTGAGGGGTAATTTTAAAACTACACTGGGCCTCTGTGTCCCAGCTACAAAGTTGGGCTAATAAAAGAACCATCTCAGTAGGAGTATTGTGAGCTTTAAATGATTGCATGTCTGCATAATACACAAGGAGTGCCAGGAAAGCATTAGTTGAATCAACAATGTCCCTGCAAACAGTATTCAAGAAATCAAATGATGTATGACGCAGCTCTGCTGCAAAAGACTCCCTTAACATTTTACAAAGAAAAAAAGTTACTTCGATGACTACAGTAGGCCTGATTCCAGCCATGGTCTTTTCACATGCCTCATATTCATGCAAAGGCTAAACAGTGATAAAGAGCGGCCAGAAAATTGATAAAGTTGGGTTGTGTTGGTGACAGATATTGAATACACCACAGATTGCTAGAAGAATAAACAAATCCGTCTTAGATGAAACAACAACCAGAGTACTCCTTAGAAGCAAGGATGGGGAGGCCTGGCGTCCGTACTTAGGACGTGTCATCAGGAAAGACCAATTGCCAGAAAAGGCCATCGTGGTTGGCGAAGTAGAGAGTCACCCAACACCAGAGGGCAGACCCTTGGTGGGATGGATTCACACGGTGGCTGCAGCATGGGTGCCCACCCCTATACCCACGGCTGTGAGGCTGACATGGGACTGGGCAGCGAGTCATTCTGTTCGATAGAAGATTGATAGACACAAGATATAAAGGTCTGTTAGAGACAAGGTTGATGGATAACATAGATATATATTATATATAAGATAAATGAGCTAGATCAGTGGTTCTCAACCTGTGGGTTGTGACCCCTTTAGGCTAGTAAAAGACCCTTTCATAGAGGCCACCCGATTCCTAACAGTAGCAAAATTATAGTTATGAAGTAGCCACGAAAAAAATCTTATGTTTCGGGCGGGGGGGGGTCCTCCACAACATGAGGAACTGCATTAAAGGGTTGTGGCATTAGGAAGGTTGAGCTAGACTAACCAGAGGAATCATTAGTGATTATTGAAGGAAAAAAAAATGCCTTCTGATCATTACCGATAGCTGACATTTCACCTGCAGATGCCGTATTTGACTTGCTTGCCCATCTGAATGTTCTCGACAGGCTTTCGTGGAGGCGCAGAACAAGATCACCGTGCCATTTCTTGAGCAGTGCCCCATCCGCGGCTTATACAAGGAGAGGATGACGGAGCTGTATGACTACCCCAAGTATAGCTGCCACTTCAAGAAAGGAAAACGGTGTGTGAGATTGCTTTCATTTCCTTGCGCCTTTTCAGTTGAATGCTTTCTTTGATTCTAAAATACAAAGTCCAGGCCACTAAGATAAGGGAGATGCCCTTCAAAGAAGTCATTGCTTCGGTGTTTCATTGGTGATGAGCTGGGGTGCTTGTAGACAGCGACGGAGAGAGGTTTGCCTGGGAATGAGGGATCTCGGGCCTGCATTACATGAAAGGAATCAGAGCCTTTCTTCCATCCAGGCATGAGCACGACCAGGAGATAGCGTCAATGAATTGACCTTGTCTTTCTTGCCCTTTAGTATTATTTTTAAATCTTAGTCCTTTAAACATAAAAATTCTCATTGGCGTTACTATCACACATTGGCCCAGAATGTCAGGGATTCCTGAGCACCGGGATCAGCAAAGTGTGGCCTAAATGCCTGCTTTCCTCCTGCTTTTTATTGGAACATGAAACAAAAGAGACTCAGTGCCATCAACTTGATCCCAACCACGGTAGAGCTGCCCCTGTGGGTTTCTTGTAAGGGAGCTGCAACTCTTTGGGAGTAGAAAGCCTCATCTTTCTCCCGCAGAGTGGCTGGTGCTTTCGAAACTTGTGGCTAGCAGCCTCACGCTTAGCCCACTGAATCGCCAGGACTCCTTAATGCGTGTCATTAGCAGAGATGATTTCCTATAGCAGGCAAATCCAGCAGTTAACTTAGGCGGATGGCAGGGCCCTTGTCATGTCCTGATTGCAAGAGTAGCCTTGTGGGGCTTTGGTTTTCTTTCGACTTGTATGTCTGGTGTTCCTCCACAGATACAAACCTCCACAGTTTAATCAAGGCCACCTCTTTCCCCAGGTATTTCTATTTCTACAACACGGGTTTGCAGAACCAGCGTGTGCTGTACGTGCAGGAGGCCTTGGAGAGCGAGGCCAGAGTGTTCCTGGACCCCAACATCCTCTCTGACGATGGCACGGTGGCGCTCCGCGGTGAGTGTGACACAGCTGCCCCCCGCCCCCAACGAGCCTCGGGGTCCTCCCCCGCAGCCCCAAAATGGATGCCACCACCCTTCTGAAACGGCGGCCGGGTGTGGGCCATATTGTAGAACAGATGCACGTGCAGTGCCCCGGAAGCTAATTTCTGCACAGTGATTTTAGCATCCGTGAATCGTCACACTCCTCTTTCCCATTCTGATGGCATGAAGCAGAACTAGCGAATAATTCCCATTGCACCCCAATTAGCTCCTAAGGCTTGGGGTATCTTGAAGTGTCACCATCATTTCTTGTAACATTCCTGGGCTCTAGCTGTGATGGGAACCCAAACAAAACCCAGCCTCTTGTCTAAGGAGTGGAAGCTGGACAAATGATGCTTCAGCAGGAAATTTTTAAGACAGGAGAAGAATATTTCTGAGCTCTGTTTCCTTCTCCCACCCTAAAAAATATAAGAAATGAGTTGTTTTATGATTTGGGTTTTATTTTTTTAAATTGACTTATGTTAACAGTTAATGAGCACCTACTACAGTCAGACACTGATGTCAGCTGTAGTGAATTCAACAAGCTCTGTCCCCAGAGATTATGTAAATAAGTGTAGGAGTGTGCTATCTAAAAAACGTAAGAAAAACTACCTAGCAGCAAGAGTGTGAGATGATCGTATCAGGAAATCAACGGGGAGGCATCAGAGAGGACACGAGAGACCAAGATTCCCAGGTACGAAGAGGTTAACAGCCCAGGCCGGGCGCCAAAGACCCTTCACTTCTTTAAGTATTCCTTCGTTGTCTATAGATTTGAGCTGCACCAGGAATTTTCAAAGTCTCTTCGTGATCTTTTCTTTTTCTCTCTTGCTTTTACATTCCAATATTTTTACTAGTGAGATGTTTTAAAGTCTAGTAAATTGTCAGTATTTTAAAATGAAGCATGAGACTCAGAAATAGGCCTGTGGAAAGTGGCCTGCTGGGTACCTTGGCCCCTGAGCTGCCATGAAAATGCCTGGCCTGCAGTTGCGATGGGTTTCCTCGAAAGTGTGGTCGGAGATGAGCGCTTCCATAGTCCCCAGAGGAGCATCCCCCCGCCTGGTGCTATAAGCTCCCATTGTGGGCTACAGTACTCAGTTATGCCCTGGCTCTGTGCTTTAATAAGGGTCCCCTAGTGGCACAACAGTTAGAGCACTTGGCTCCTAACCTAAAGGTTGGCAGTTCAACCTCACCAGCCATTCTGCTTCGGAAAAATGAAGATTTTGGGGACCTGATAGAGCAGTTCTAGTCTGCCTTGAAGGGCAGGGGGTTGAAATAAACTTGACGGTAATGGATGGGATGGCTTATTAATTGCATATTAAGTGAATAAAGCTGGTTCTTCTGAGGCAGAACTTAAAGATGCTCCAAGTATCCATCCAACTCTTTGCAAACCGCTGTACCACTCCCTCATCTGTAACATCAGCTACTCCCTTGCCCTCCACACTGTCACTCTGGACCATGGGTTCTGTAACTCACTACAGCCTCTTGCAGAGCTCAGGAACCAGGCTTACAGTTCCGACCTCTTGCCTTATGCTGCTGGGCCCAGCTTGGCGCCTTCTCCAACAAGTGCTGGTGCTCTGAGTGCCACGGGTGTCAGCAAGCCTCACCTCGGCATCACAGGCAGCTCGCCCGTCTCCCGCATGCTCTTGCCATGCTGCCACGGCACTGCCATCGATGCTGTCTGGTGTTACAGCTCCTCTGCCTCCCTCTGTGTGTTCTCCTTGAAGACCAGCGGGAGGGTACAGTTGACCAATCCCCTCGTGAAGGTTCCGTGCTCTGTATTTGCGTTAGCAGCTAGCTGTCTTTCCCCCTGCCATGCCCCTGATCCGCTTAACCCTGCCCGATCACAGTGTGGGAGTCACACTGGTTAGGACTAGAAGGGCCCTGTTCGACTGGAGTCAGTGCACGTCACGCACTTCGTGGAATATTTTTCCAGAACACCTGGGATATTTTTAGTGAAGTTGGCTTGGCACTGCCCCTGGGCCATCTTCTGAGAGAATGCAGGTCCGGCTTGGGTCCTCCGGAGATGAGGACTTAGCACACTGACGTCCTCTGTACCTGATTAGTTGGGAAATAGAACCCCGTTGGATTTCTAAGAGAACCTGGGTGGTGCGATTTACTGAAAGATTGGCCGTTTGGACCTACCAGTGGTACCTCGGAAGAAAGGTCTGGCAATCTGCTTCTGAAAGAGCTCAGCCTTAAAACCCCTCCCTCCTGCTCTGCAACACACAGGGCTGCCAAGGGTCAGTCTAACCAGGGATCCAGTGGTCCCCTTTTCTGCCTGCAACAGCTGTGCGGGGCGGGCGAATGATGGTCCTTACTCAGTGCTGAAAGGACGAGGCCACTTGGTCCCTTGACAAGAGTGCTCCTGCATTTAAGCATGGAGCTTTCAACAACGTTAACATGCTGGTCTGTGCAGTAAGATGCCCTCTTGAAAGCATGCATTTAGAATTAGCGGAAGTCCATTTTGTGATCCACTATAAGGTGGCCTGACCTCTTCCCCCGGTCATTCATTCCAGTAACTTCTAGGTGCATGCTGTGTGCAAGGCCTCGCTGGATGGAACGGTGAATCAGACACAGAAGCCGGCCTCTAGTCGTCCTTGACTTGCTGGTGAATGATATCACCAGGCAGTTACAGTATGGGCAAGCATTTGGATTCTACTGATAGTACATGATTTTGAAAATCATGTTTCAACCCCAAATATTTTCTTTAACATTTCCCTGAAAATACTCAAATTATATGTAAATAATCCAAGCAGTTGTCTGATCACCTTCCAGATTCTTCTGTGTTGATATTACATATGAGCTTGGATACATTTATGGGCTCTTGAAGGAATTCGTAAGTGAGTTCTGTGAAATTTTTAACTCATTTGTCACTGATAGGGAATCCCTTAAAATAATAGGACACCTCTGAAGAGAGCTGAGTTTCTTAGGGTCATTTTCAACCCCAGTTAGATTTTGCGGCCATCCAGGAGGAAATCTGACGTCAGTGCCTGATGGCAGGTGGTGTACAAGTAGCCCTGTACGTGTAAATGTCACAATAAAGCCTGGGCGTCTTTGCCGACGAGCATCCCGTAGCAATTTAAACACTCTGGCTGTCATACGGCCATAAAGCAGTGTCCCCTGAAGTGGGCAGTGCCACTCCCCGAGGGGTGCCGGCACAGTCCCAAAGCAGGTGCTTGTCCTGCCTTCTGGCCTCCAGTTCAAAAGTGTGTGTGGGGGGGAGAGGGGGGGGAGGCTGAGGAATTTTTCGCTGAGAGGTTTGGGAAGCATGCTTTACAGTTTTAGGGATTAGCCCACAAGCAGTGAGGCTCTTCTGCATCGTTCACCCTCACCTTGGGAAAGTGCCCGCCATGACCTTCTCTGCCAACCTGGGGCTTCGCAGATCTGTGCCAGTCAGACAGCGTGGGGATTCATCTCTGAGTGCCAGTAGCGCTTAGGAAATGCGGTCTTGATGAGGGGTTTCAAAGGGTTTGGGATCCATTCCAAAAATTACCTAATGGCTACAATTTAGTTCTGTTACTTGGTATGTGTCATAATCCAGTCATTACTCTGAAAGCAGTTTCTGTACTCCTTTTTCCTCTTGTTCTCTTTTTAGTATAAATAAAATAGGTTGAAAATTCCAGGTGAGTTCTGCTTCCAACCAAACTCTGAATCGATTTATAGAAAATTCAAAATGGAAGAACACTCGTAGAAAGTTCTAAGTGGCAGTATAATTGGATCATTTCCTTTTAAAAGCTTTAGCCCATTTCCAGTGACTGAATTCTGACAAATGTAGACCCCACGTTCATCAGATGTTCTGTGGGGGTTTTTAAATGGCTGGCCTTTCCAAAGAAATGCCCAGGCCTTTCTTCTGAAATACTTTTGCATGGACTCAAACTAGCAACCTTCTGGTTAGCCGCTGAGCACATTGGCCGATCTTACCCAGGGACCGCTGCAGATGAAGAACCTGAGATGTGAGCCATTCGGGACTTATCCGAGGTGATAAGGCTCGTTCCAGAAGAGCTGGCCTGGCCCAGGTCTTCTCTCTCCCAGGGTGGTTCCTGCTGCTGCTGTGGCCGCACTCTGCCTCCCTGTGTGACAGAGACCTTTGTCTGGCTGGGCAGTGGGCAAGATGAGGAATTCTACCCCGATGTGACAATGCCTCCTACGTCCTATAGGTTATGCATTCAGTGAAGATGGCGAATATTTTGCCTATGGTCTGAGTGCCAGCGGCTCAGACTGGGTGACAATCAAGTTCATGAAAGTGGATGGTGCCAAAGAGCTTCCTGATGTGCTGGAAAGAGTGAAGTTCAGCTGTATGGCCTGGACGCATGATGGGAAGGGACTGTTCTACAATTCATACCCCCAACAGGATGGGAAAAGTGATGGTGAGTACTGGCTTCAGAGGAAGCACTTCTTGCACAAAAGGAGCTGGGACTGCATGCGACCAGAAAGAGGAGCTGAGCTCTACTAAAGCAATTGGGTCCAGCATGGGGTTGCTTCAGAGGGTGTCAGGACTGTTCACATTACAGTGTAGCAGAAGCCCCCCAAACGTAGTGGCTTAGAATAATAACCCTCTGGGTTTGCTTATGCGTCTCTAGTTTCCCGTGGCAAGGCTGAGGAGAGTTCTGCTGGGCATCAGTGGCAGTCGTGGATCAGTTGACTGATTTGGGCTTGGCCCTCTCACCTGTCTGGGGCCTGTGCCTGTTCTGATGGATGCTCTCATCCTCCAGCAGGCTGGCCTGGGCTTGCTCGTGGTGCAGCTCGACAGAACTCCTCTCTGAGGACTAAGTTTGCTGCTGTGACCTCACTTGCCACATTCCCTTAGTCACACCCGGTTCCTGGGCCAGCCCCGATTCAGAAGGTGCAGAGGGAGGTAGAGAGGCCTGTGAAAAATTACAGAATTACTGTAATTAGCCCTCTGGAGATGGATGATGCCTTCCAAGGGGAGGGTAGAATTTTAAAATAAACGAGTCTATTTGATGATGCTTGAAGAGTTACTGTAGTGTTTTTGTGTCTTCCTCCGATCAGAAGTTACAAGTCACCGCTGGTTGGTGTTTTCATGGCATTTGTATCCCTAGGCACACCCTAGGTCTCTTCAGTTGCTCAGTCTTCCTTCCTTCCTTCCTTCCTTCCTTCCTACCCACCTACCCACCTACCCACCTACCCACCTACCCACCTACCCTCTCCCTCCTCCAAGACATTTATTCAAGCTATCACATCACCAACATCTCCCCTGTCCTGCCTGCCCCCCCTTCCCCTGCCATGTTTCCAGGTGGTGTGTAGCATGCCCATGGCACCCCATCCCATCTTCACAGGCGGGTTTGCTGCCCGTGTCTGAGAACAGGAGGTGGCTGGAGGGCCTGGGGCTGACGAGGTGTAGGGTTCCCCCAGGGCTCTCTGCTGTGTGTTCTGTCCCCCCATCATGACTTGCTGTATCTTTTTCACTAGATTGCCTTCCTTTTCTGTTTTCGCTGGGGTCAACTGGAAATGAGACATGAACATGTCTCCGTCTCTTTTGGCCTTGATGAACTTTTCTGTTTCGTTGTCCATGCACCACAGCGGTACTGATGCGAGGATGAGGAGGGCCGCGTGGGTACTCTCGGCGTTCGCTAAAGAACAGCATCTGTGCTCTGTGCACTGCATGACTGCCTGTGGGAAAGATGCCCGAGTTAGGACATGCTGCTATATCTGTATAGAGCTGGCAGTTCTTGTTGGAGCATATTGTTAATTCGCTAACTTGGGAAAAGTACAAAGTTGTGATTGATCCTCCGTTTTCCACAGTAGTGATAGTAATGATGACTGAGCCCAGGTGGCACAGTGGTTAAGGTTTCTGCGGATAGCAGAAAAGTTGGTGATTTGAACTCAGCCCTGTCTCTGTGGGAGAAAAGCCCTGGAGACCTGCTCCTGCAAGGATGGCAGCCGGGAAGCCCTGCGGGCACTTGTACTCTGGCATAGAGTGTCCCCATGAGTTGGAATTGATTGGCTGCTACCAGCAAACAGCAGTCATGGTGATGATCGGTGGTTAGGGCCGACTTAAGAAAGCCACTGCCTTTTCCCAGCTGTAATTTTGCTGTCCTCTTGCCAGAAGGACCCTGGCACCTGTCAGCTTGTGCGATGGAGGGTTTATGAACAAAGCTGAACACATATTCAGCCCTGTTCTTCTTGTCCACATTCTTGGAAAACTCAATGAAAATCACCAGATGGTGTAAACTTTTAACATTTGATTTTAGCTTCTCCTCAGTTTTCCTGAAAGTTTGGTATATTTTATAGTGAAGAATATAAGCTTAGTCTGATAGTTCCCCAATCCGGAGATATGGGTTAATTCAGAGATGATACTCAAATGAGACCTCGATTTTTTAGAGTTTCTGGCCTCTCTTGTTCTTTCAAGTAGATTCCTTGTTCCTTTACAATAGCCAACTCTATCTCAGTGTGCATTTGTAACTCCTCCAGGCACGGAGACTTCCACCAATCTCCACCAGAAGCTCTGCTACCACGTCCTGGGGACCGAGCAGTCAGAGGATGTTCTGTGTGCTGAGTTTCCTGATGAGCCTAAGTGGATGGGTGGAGCGGAGGTATTGTACACCTGTGACATTTCCCCCACAAAGACCGTGTCCATGAATACAGTTTTGTCACCTGGTAGCCTTTATGAACAGTAGAAGCGCTTAAAGCGATAAAAGTAGCCGTTTTCTAATCGACTCTTCACTAATGAAGGTGGTAAACCTTTAAAGCAGCAATATCAATCAGGTAAATTCTTTCAGACTAAAAGGAATAGGTGCATCTGATGGGACTTGTATGGCCATTGCCGAGCTCTGAGTCAGGCCTCACAGGTAAGCACTGAGTCTCATTCCAAGACACTCTTTGGGTGCCTTAGTGAGAATGTGGAGAGACTGTGTGCATGTTCTTTCCTTAACAACAACAACACACACACATGCTCTGTTCACCCATGTTGTTCACTCATTTTTACTATAAAATGTTTCTTTTAGCCATCTTTCCACCTCACAAATAGTTCCTGTAGCCCTAGGTGTGATGGACAAGGAGGTGGCGTGGTGGTTAAGAGCGCTGAGTCTAACTGAAATGTGCGTTCGAGCCCACCCAGCCTAGAAAACCCCATGGGACAGTCTGCTTGGTGACTTGGGGTCATTGTGAATTGAGATCAACTTGATGGCACCTAATCCAACATCAGAAGTCATGCCTCTTTGAACCTGCACGGCCAAGTTCACTTTCTAGCTACCATTCATTTAATGGTAAGGGCCGTATTGATCTTTTTTTTTTTTTTTTTTATGACTGAACCAACAGGGCTCAGCTCACCTAGTACCCAGAAGCAGAAGCACTGCTCTTAGGAATTAAGGAAGTCATCTCTTTGGTGACCAAAGAACACCAAGGATGGTTCTGAGCTGGGAAAACCAGAAATCATTCAGAGTATGCAAAAGTTGCCCCACCCCGCTTCTGTGAAATGCAAACCAACTGCAACCCAGAGACCTGGCTTGGCTTATCACTGAGGCAAGATTACAACAAAGGCTAGACAGTACCCCACAAGGCCCAGCTTTGCCACAAACAAACTAAACAAAGTGGCTGCTCGGCTTTGTGGGTTCCTGACTCCTGGCCACCCTGTGCGCCCAAGGATGTGAGAAGCAGAGCTCTAAGCCTTAAGCACTTTGATGGGAACCTCAGATCTTAGTTTGATCTTTTTTAGAGGGCTCTCAGACAAGTGTGTCAATAGTTTACACAACGTCTGACCCAGAGAGCAAAATGTTCATAAAAGTTGCTCTGTTATGTATTAACAACAACAACATTTTGGAAACCGAGCTGAAGGTTAGAGAGATGATTTGGCTGTGGTATAAACCTCACATCAAATGGGTCTGCAGTCCTCAAGGTTGAGACTAGGGAGGAAGGACGAGAGAGATCCTTCTACAAACACAAATAGGAAGTCCTTCAGAAACATACATCCTAGAGAAATACATATCCTAGAGAAATAAGCCACTCCAAGCAGCGAAGAGGTGGAAAAACCACCTGAATGCCCATTGGTCCGTAGAAGAATGGGTCGATACACTTTGGTGCGTACACACAAGGGAATGCTACACCACATTAAAAAAAGAGGATGAGACTGCGAAACACAGAGTAACACGGATGACCCTGGGGGACTCTGTGCTGAGTGAAATCAGTCTGGCATGAAAAGATAAATAGGATGAGACCACGAGTAGACAAAGTCGAGAGAAGATTTTCACACTTACCCTGATGGTCACCAGCGTGGGAGGGGGTGAGAGAAGTAAGAAGAATACTGAACAGCGAAGCAGGAGGCAGCAACAGAAGATGGAAAAAAATACAGTCACGGTAGCACAAAGGCCTAGTGGACATGCAACCATTTCAAGAGGCAGCACATGAGCATGAACCGATGGTGGTGAAGAAGCTCAAGCTGCACTGAGGGCATTAGCCCAAAGCAAGGCTCCAGGCATTGACGGCGCACCAATCGAAATGCTTCAACAGGCGGATGATGTGCTAGAAGCACTCAATTGCCTATGCCAAGATACGTGGGTGTCAGCTACCTGGCCAACCGACTGGAAGAGAGCCAAATCTGTACCCATTCCAAAGAAAGGTGCCCCACCAGAAAGTGCAAATTAGAGAACAACATCACTGATAGCACACACAAATAAACTATTGCTGAAGATCATCCAACGGGGCTCCGCAGCAGGACAATGACAGACTGCTGCCAGAAATTCAGAAGAGGATGTGGGACAAGGGATATATCATTGTTGAGGTCAGATGGATCTTGGCTGAAAGCAGAGAATAATGCCAAGAAGATGGTTTTGTGTGTGTTTTATTGCCTCTGCAAAGGCATTCAGGCATAACAAACTGGATGGCCTTGAAAAGAATGGGAATTCTTTTACAGTGTGTATAACACACACACAGCTCACCAACTTGGTGGGTTCATTCTGGTGGGGCACACAAAGACCTTGGTAAAAATAGTTGCTTTGAGGGAAGGAACTAGAAGTCAGGAATCGCCGTATTGATCTTAAGAGCCAATAGTAGTAAAGTTTTTCATAATCAAATTTCATACCTGTTGAAGTCTTCTGGGGTAAAAAAATTTTAGTGTGTTATTTGAGAGGAGTGCTTATGCTTCAAAGCTTATCGTTTTTGTTGCAGAAGACCTGTTCCAATGAGGTAAAGTGTAGTTGCTAGAATAACATGCATACTGAAAGTAAACGCTAGGATTGGAGTATGTAATTAACATATAGGCCTGTAAGAAACAAGGACTGTCTGCAGTGGACTATGCAGGCAAGGCTAATTATTTAGATCTATTTACTAGCATTTGGTTGATGCAACTAACTTTTTTTAAATGCATACAGACAAGTCCAACATTTAACTTATACATATTCAATTCTACCAGGTAGGCCACTGAAAAGTTAAGTAGGTGCACAGTTTAAGTGATTTCTTCTAGATATATACTTTCTACCTGCCTCATAAAATCTTCATTGCAAACCTAATAAGGTGAGCATTCCATTGCAGAAATGGCATTCAGTGGGAGGGCAAGGAACATGCCCAGGAAACTGCTGGTTCAGTTAGGCCCCATAACCTGCATCTTCTCAGCCACCATGCTACCTTGCCTCCCTGGGCACAAGGGAAGAGGTCATGCAGAACCAACCATGATGACTTTAAACAAAGACTCAGCACCCATCCTACACACAGGTTAAAATGAGGGGGTTGAAAAAGAAGGGAAACGAACAGGACACGTAGTGGAGTCATAAGGATGTGGTGCCAGACTTCCAGCGAGGGCATTGCACAGAGCAAGTTTCTACGGGAACCAGTGGCCGGTGAAGGCGCCTGGGCATAGACTGGTCGGAAGCTGCAGGCCAGTGTCTTGGGGCTCTTGACCCAGCCAGTGTCTTGGTTGGGCAAGTCTGGCTGACTAGGTGAGCAGTCCTTCATCCCTCACCTGGCTGTGGATGGCATTTTTGCCATCCTCCGAAGAGGTCCATCTTGCTACACAGAAGAGCACATTTTGTCACGTAGCCTGAATTCTATGGCTCTGCAGGTCTGAAGCCTTCAGAAGCTCTAGGCTCACTTTGATCTGGGGGTTCAGTTCCAGGTGGTGCAATCAGAAAACTTCAGACCAGAAGACAAGTTTTATGTCCTTCAAGGGAGTGTCATTAAGCCAGAATAGTCCAAACAGCTGGTCTACTGAGGACCTGACTGGACCATAAATTTGGCCCACTGCTCCTTTTCAGAGAAAAAAAAATCACTTAGCACCCCCTGGCAATTAAGAACTTCTATACTATAGCCCATAATCCAGGATAAAGTGTAAGTATCTGCTTTTGCAGCCCCTCTGGGTCAGTCCAGTGCCCCCTTGGGGAAGCACCCATACCCATGTACAGATCATGTTCAGGGCCCTCCCTAGAGAATAAATGAGCATCTGCCTATGAGTGTTCATGCAGCCACCGCAGAGAAAGCCAGTATCTTCTCCACAACCACCAACTCCGTGTGCTCCACCTCTTAATCTGCTTCAGCGTCCTTGCTTTGGAGACGGTCATTTCAGACCCAGTACTTCAGCTGGAAAGAGACCCGGTGGTGCTTGAGAACTTGGCTGCTGAGACCTCAGCACTTCAACCCCCAGCTGCTGCGCCGTGCGGATGAGGCAGACTGCTTCCCTGAAGATGACAGCCAGGCAGTCCCATGGGCAGTCCTGCACTGCGCGGCAGAATCGAGTTCACTGCGCTGAGGTGAACAAGTGTGTAGGGCCCTGAGGGTCCCTGGCGGCGTACTGGGTTACGCCAGAGCAGCAGTTCGGAACCACCAGCGGCCCCTCGGTAGATCGACAAGACTGTCTGCTCCCGCAGAGAGAAGCCCACAGGGCCGTTCTGCTCGGCCCGACGGGGTCTCTGTGAGTCAGAGTCAGTTGGATTGCAGAGTCTGGTTTGGAGTTTTTCCAGATGATGAAGAAGGCGCTTCGGTGGCACTGTGGGTCTCGGTTGGAACCTCAGACCCGCTTGGAGGGAGAAATATGAGGCTGCCTGTTCCCAAAGGGATGCTATGAGTCAGAATGGACTCAGTGGCATGGGCTTTCGTCTGTAGGTCTTCGGATCCGGGAGTCCTAGTGGCACAATGTGGTCGGCGATGGGGTGCACTGGGACAGGGATCGGGAGAGTTTTATTCTGGCTGCATGTGCGTAGCTGTGAGCAAGTCACTTCATCTCTGCCCCTCTGCTGGAGGATTAGTCCCAGCACCTCTTAGACTCCCGAGGCTGACTTCCTGGGTGAGGCATAGTTGGCGGATATGGAAAAGAGGACCGTGGAGGGTAGGGCTGTGGATGTGCTGGAGGCACGTGGTGGGGTGGGTGGCTGTGTGTCTATTTCTCTGGCTCGCTGCCTCATCTGCTCTCTTCACAGACACTTCCCCTGCCTTTGTGCATGGACAGGCCTCTCTTGCCTTGGTTTATGGGGCAAGCAGAGCCCAGTATGTTGCGATAAGAAAGCAGCTTTACAAAAAAATTTTTTAAGGAAAGAGAGCAGCGTTAGCTTTATTGCCTTTGGCTGTGTTTGCATAGCACAACACCTTTCCCCAGGACGACTCCTTGCTC